GTGCCGGTGCGATGGGAGTCGGGGTGTCGGGGCCTTCTCTCGAGATCACTTCACATTTTGCGGAGCGGAGGAAGGAGACACGAACCCTTCCTCTGCGCGCAGCCAAGCGGGGCCGAAGCGAAGCGCCAGCCCAGCCTTCGCGTGCCGGAGCTGGGGCTGCACCCTCGGCCGGAGCCCCCGCTCTGCCTCGTCCCCCTCCCCCAGCCAAACCTGCCCACGGTGGGTTTGCCCGTGGGCCTCAGCGTAACTGCCTTAACCCCCCGTCCCGTCCGCACTCACGCCCTGGCTCTGGGCTGCGTTCGAAGGTTCATCCCACCAAGAACTTTCCTTCACGGGAACTGGGAAACGCCGCTGGGGTCGCATTCATGGGGCTGTTTTTGGAGCTGGTTTCTCTCCCACCAAAGCGAAATGCTGTTACGTCCGTGTGATCGCCCGACCTCTGTGCTCAACTCGCTGCTCCGTCCTGCTTCAATCCCAGCCCGTAACCGGAGGGAAGGACACAGGTTGCCCTCTCCTACGTGATGTTCTCCCTCAACACATCCCAGACGGTTAAGGGCAGCCTTGGAGAAGCTCGTAGATGGGAAGGTGAAAGTTGTGTGATTCGCCTCACTCTCCCTGGTTTTCCTGGCCTGACTTGCGCTGCGGCAGGTTGCAGCTCAGCACCCAGTGCCCTGCGGCAGAAGGATGTTGCCACCTGGTTGTGTCTCTGGTGTGTCCCAGAAGAGGAGCAGGGATGGTCCGTCAGCAGCTCTTGGGCTCACCTGTAAGATCAGCCCCAGCCACGCTCCTCTCCTGCAGCCTGTGCCACGTTTTGGGGGGTTTAGTGGCCTCTCTAGCCACGTTTCAGCCATTTTTCATGTCAGCCCCACAGCTGGGGGTCACCGACACTCGCTTCTAGATGAGGGGAAGGGAAAGGGCAGCCCGTCCCCAGCAGAGCCGACGGCTCTTGCCTTCACCAGCACTACAGACCGCAGCAAAATATGGATCAAGGTATCTTTTCCTCTCCATATGTTTTTTCTCCTTTCCACTCTCTTTTTGTTTTAACGTCAGGTGCTCGAAATGGAGCATGTGAAGGCTCACAGTGTCCTGAAAAATGCGATTGGAGACTCCTGCGAGGCCCCAAAACACCTGGAAGGATGTTTTCTGCCCCTGCTCGGAGTGGAAACGTGGCACTCAGCAGCAGCTGCACCAGCTCCAGCATCCCCAAGGGGCCTGACACTCCTCTGCCGCTGGCTTTAATTCTCCTCTCGTTAATAGGTGGTTCGTTAGCAGCGATGCAGTCGCTCACCTACGGCACAGGTCCCTGGTGTCAGCCGAGGGTGGAGGCAGCTCTGCCTTTCCCAGCCCTCTGCCTGCACGGCGGGAGTCAAGCGGGAGTAAGGACAGATGTTGGCAGCTGTGGATTGCACTTTATATAAATAGAGACACTTCTCAGCAGCTTATTTTCAAAAATCTTAAGGGAAATTTTACTATTCTGGTGAGAGACTGTAACAGAGGGAGCTTGGGGTGTGGGGACGGGACGGGAAGCGTTTGCATTGCCATTTTGGGTCGGGGGGGGATTGGGGTTTGCGGGGTCTCGTTGCTTGGCTGCAGTCAGAGCTGGCGGTGAGCCCAAGGTTGGGGGTTTCTTCTTTCCGTTGGTGCGTTTCCGTTCAAGGCCAGTAGAGATGTAGAGATCAGTGGTGGAAATGGAGATTGTTCTTCCTCCCAGGGTCTTAACACGCTCATCTCTTGCTCAAAGTGTTGGTTTTTTGGAGGATGCCCGGTGCTGCGATAGCCAGGGATCAGGCTCGGAGCGTCGTGGCTGGCTGAGCAGGGAGAGGCTGCGTGATGGGACCGCTGTGCGGGTCGGGGGATGGTTTCCTCTGTGCTGAGACCCCCCAAAGGGGGAGGATTTGGGGGTGAACGGTGCTGTGAGTCACCGATGGCAGCTGCTTGTGGGGGGACATGTTGGGTGGCAGCAGCGGTGGGAGGGACGGAGCGCCATAAGGAAACTAAATGCCAGCAAGAGCATCTCCTTCCCCCCCCGGGGCTGGTGCTGCCTCTCCCGGTCCTCCGCTCCTCTGGCTCTTTCCCAAATCTTCCCAAAGAGACACCAAAACCCCTCCAGAATACAGACTTGTGATTCAGCTTTCTGCTCCTGAGACATCCCAGGATCTGAGCTGTCCTTCGGCTTTCCTCCACCATCGGGGAGGAGAGGGGTGTTTCTGGAGAGCAGCCCGGCCCGTGCCACCATCCCCAGCATCCTCCTTCGCAACCCGTCGCTCTCTCGTGGGTTTCAGGGGGTCCCGGGGTAACTCCGAAGCTCAGGTTGTACGATTCGTCCCAGTCCCAGCACAGAGCAGCCCGAGGCGTGTGGTCTCTGCTGCCCCAACCCCGAGGAGATGGGAAGGTCTCTCGGCGGCTGCACCTTTCCCAAGGGAAAGGCCTTTTCCCCTTTCCAATGTTTCTGCTGCTTCACCCAGGACCGGGGGTAGCAGCCGGCAGGTGCCGGGCGCGGAGCGAGATCTTTCTCACGTTGGCTGTAAATAGCATCGTCTGCGGTGACACGGACCCCCCCGTACCCCACTAGTGCCGCACAGCACAGCCCCTGCCCTCCCCCGCGCCGCGGTTGTGCCGACTGCTCCGTGAGCACCAGGTTTAAAAAAAAAAAAAAAAGGAAAGGAAAAAAAAACCAAACAAAAAACGAGAGAAAAGAAACACTCCTTCAACACGAGCACAATGTTGAGTTTTTTTGTAAAAGGATCAAATAAATGGAGAGTTTAACTTGAGAGCGTCTCCGTGCCTGCTTTGCCGGGGGCTGGGAGAGGGGCGGTTGGGACCGCGATGGGGTTTGCAGCGGCAGTGCTGCTCCGTGGCCCTGGGGCACCCCGAAAGCCTCTCCCCAGGTTTGTGTTTTCCCCACAAGGGGCAGGTGAGCTGGTCCGGAACGGTGGAAACCCCTCAGGGATGGCAGCGCCTGGTGCTAAACCCCATTGCATCCCTCGGTGAGCTCCGAGCTGGGCCGAGAGAGCCCCCGGTCCAGCCCCAGGGAGGTTTAGACCCCCATGTGGCTTCAGGGGACATCAGATCCCAGCTGCCACGGTGACACAGGGCTGCTGGTGGCATCGGGGACATCCAGCCAAGAGAGCGGGTCTGGGGGAGGCTGGAAACCCTTCGATTTCTGTGTTGCCGGTTGAAATCGCAGCCAACCAAAAAGCACCTTCCCCAGAGCCCTGCTCTGTGCCCGGGGCCTCTGCGCTGCCGTGCGATGCTGAAGGTCACCACGGGGAAGAGCTCTCCGGTTATTTCTCGGCAATGAAAACAGCAGCTGAGCCAAGGGGGGGGATCGCAAACCTTCCCCTCCCTGCCCCGGGATCCTGGGAATGAGGAGGCCATGTCCTACGGCGCCTGCAGGCATTGCTGCCTCCACGATGCTCCCGGTCCCTCTCCTGTGCCGAAGGGTGAGGTGGAAAACCCAACTGGCTCCGTGTGCTTTCTCACCCGATTTCCACAGCCTTAAACCTGCGGGGAGCGGCAGAGGGGAGGAGCGGAGCTGGCTGGGCCCTGGGCCACGGGCTCCCCTTCCACGCTGGGCTGGAAATCCCACCGGATTTCCTGCACGTGGCTGGATTTCCTCTCCCTTTCTGCTGCGTTTCTTCACCTTTCCTCCTGAGCAGCCGCCTTCCTCCGTGGTCACCTCTGTGTCACCTGTCCGGGAAATGTGCCCTCGATTTTCCCTGCTGCCCTGGGGGAAAGGCTTTTCCCCATGGGGGAGGGTTTTATTTGGTGCTTGGTTTTATTTCCAGGATAGGTTTCAGGGAAACCCCAAATTATTTTGATGCCAGAAGGGAGGAGGTGGGGGCTCTGCCCAGAACGTGCCT